TAAGAATATAAAGTGTACTACTACTAATAATACCTAATTTGTTCCAAGTTTTAAATCCCAAGCTAATTTGTTCTGAGCTAATATTGTTCTAAGAGCTTTAAAAATGTCCACTGACAACAGTGGTTCTCATATTTTTGGGTTTTAGAACTCCTTTTGCGTTCTTAAAAATGATAAATCCTCAGAAAGCCTTTCCTTATGTGAGTTGTATTTTTAAAAATATTTTAAAAATATTTTTAAAAAATTTTTAAATATTCACTTAGAAATCCTTTTAAAATACTTCAAATTTTTCATTCAGAAATAACAAATAAATCCATTACAAGTGTAGGTCAATAACATAATTTTATGAAAAATAACTATATTTTCCACAAGAACAAATTTAATTAGAAGAATGGCACCATTTTACATGTTTGCAAATCTCTGTAATGTCTGGCTTAACAGAAGACAGCTGGATTCTCCTATCTGGTTTGGCATCCAATCTGTTGCAATATCACATATCATGTAGCTTTTCAAAAACTCCAATATATACTTGTGAAAAAATGAGAATGAAAATAGCAAATACTGCCTTAGATTTATTATAAAAATAGTTTTGACTTCCCAGACCCCTGAAAGGGTCCTTCCTATGAGGTGAAGGTGAAAATTAAGTTACTTAGTCAGAGAGCCAGGAGTGGAGCCCAGGGGGGTCTGATTCTGGACCCCAGGGTTGCCCCTCGGAGCCAGGAGGAGAGCAGCAGGGAACCCTTTCATGATGTTTTATGCAGTGGTACAGTTTCAAATTCAATCTTTCAATTTGTGCAAAGCAGAGGTTGGGAGAAGGGAGAGTAACAGCCACAAAATTCATCTGTAAAGGGGCCCAGGTCTGTCCTACAAGGAAAATGGCATCTTACCTACAGGGTAGGGGAGACACAGCCAAATGTCCTGGAAGCCCCTCTAGGAACAGCTCTCTCCTGCCCAAACCAAGCCATTATCTATGTCTCACTCCATCCAATGCTTCTCTACACCACTTGAATTCTGCCTTCAAATTCTTTTTTTTTTTTTTCAGTTTTCTTGAGAAAAAAATCAACATATATCGATTGCTGTGTAAGTTTAAGGCATACAGCATGATGGTCTGATTTATGTAGGTTGGGACATGATGACCACAAGAGGTTCAACCAACATTCATCTTCTTATACAGACACAATTAAAAAATAAATAAGAAAAAAAAAAGGGTCTCCTTGTGATGAGAACTCTTACGATTTACTTTCCTCGCAGCTTCCCTATAAACCATACAGCAGCGTTAGGTGTACTCACCCTGTTGTACATTACATCCCTAGTACTCACCTTGTAACTAGACGTTTGCACCTTTTAACCAGCTCCCTCCAATTCCCCCTCCCCATCCTCCATGGCCAGTAACCACAAGTCTGATCTCTTCTTCTGAGTTTGTTTTTTAGATTGTTCGTATTTAGATTCCACATATATGTGAAATCATAGGGTGTTTGTCTTTCTCTGACTTACTTCACTTAGCATATCCCTCAGGATTCAACCATGTTGTCACAAACGGCAGGATTTCCTCATTTTTATGGCTGAATAATATATATATATGTGTGTGTGTGTGTATACACAACTTCCTTATCCATTCATCTGTCAATGAACAATTGGGTTGTTTCTATGTCTTTTTTTTTTTCAATTAAATGTTTTTCAATTAATTAAAATGTTTAAAAAGAAGAGTAATAAAGAGCCTAGTTCTATCAGATATTAAAGCACATTTTAAATTTACAGCAATTAGGGGTGCCTGGGTGGCTCAGATGGTTAAGCGTCTGTCTTTGGCTCAGGTCATGATCCCAGGATCCTGGGATCAAGTCCCGCGTCGGGCTCCCTGCTCAGCGGGGAGCCTGCTTCTCCCTCTGCCTCTCTCTCTCTCTGTCTGTCTCTTACGAATAAATAAATAAAATCTTAAAAAAAAATTTACAGCAATTAGGGGCACCTGGGTAGCTCAGTCGGTTGAGTGTATGCCTTCAGCTCAGGTCATGATCTCAAGGTCCTGGGATCGAACCCCACATCGGGCTCCCTGCTCAGGAAAGGCATCTGCTTCTCCCTCTCCCTCTCCCTGCTGCTCCCCCTGCTTGTGCTCTCTCTCTCTCAAATAAAGAAATAAATAAAATCTTTAAAAAAATAAATTTACAGCAATTAGTACTGAGTTGACCTAGCAGAAGACTGAAAGGTAAAGCAACAGATCAGAATACATAGCCCAAATTAGATTCAACTATAGAAAAGGCAATATATTATAAAGTAGGTGTAATAATTCATGATGTAAATAAAATAAACTGTTTAGCAATTTGGAGGGGAAAAAAGTCTATATTTAGACCTTCACTTTTAATCACATGCCAAAATAAATTCTAGCTAGATTAACTGTTTTTACAATAAAGCGTGGGCAGAGGCTGAGAAAGGCAGGACCAGATCTCATTCATCACTGTGCTCCCAGGGGCTCGTCCGGGGCTGCTGGGCAGCTGCCCAAACACAGGGAACTACCTTGAGCTCCGACTCTGCTGCTAGCCCCTTGTGCCCTCTTGGGCAAGTCACTTTGCTTCTCCGTCCCATAAAGTGTGCACAGTAATGACCCCAGCTGCACAAGAACACCCATTATGAGCTTCAGAGTACTATACAAATTAACAAAAGGAATGAAGACTAGGAAGCTACATCCATCCCTGTTGCTATGATTCGAATATGCTTAACATTAATATTTTAGTGAGAAAAATAATGCCAATTTTCTTTGTAATCTACTTAATAAAGTAGACAATTTAGGTTGTAAAAATATACACTTTCCCTTGGGGCCTCAGGAAAATTTTTAAATTTTGAATGGGAAAAAGATGCATCTCATAAGCATGTCTATTTTTCCTGAATTAGCACTTTTACCCAAAAAAGACCTGGCATCAGTGCTCTAAGAGAGCTGGGAGGTTTTCTTTTCACTGCTTCTTTCATGGGGCCCAAAGGCAGGAGACAGGTCCAGGAGGTCCACGAAGGGTGAGGAGGGGAGGGGGAAGGGGGTAGCGGGGCACGGCAGAAGATTTAGAATTTTAAAACCCTGAAATGACCTTGAGCAAGCTATTTACCTTTTCTTTGTTTCCAGAAACTGGAGATGCCAACTCTTACCACACAATTAAAAGACTAAGATGAGGTCATACACATGAGCGCCCTGCACCCAATTACAGGTCTTTTGTCGGCCAGCAAGCCTTGAGTAAATGCTGGCTTCTCTTCTCTGCTGCCCTTCTCTCTCATAAAGCTCTCCTGGCCCTCCTCCCGCTTTCCCTGGCCTCTCTCACAGTCCCTCTCTCCCCTGCCCCCAGGAGAGCCCTGCAGCTTCAGCGAGGGGTCTGAGGCAAAGGCCATCCAGGGATTTGGTCACGCATGTCAAATGCTCCCCACCCCATCTCAAACCCTATCACGGCCACCACCGCCCCACCCGGTCATTTTCCTCCTAGGATACTTGCACTCCACGGTCGCTCAGGCAGCCCGCACCAGTGCCTGAGCACCTGGAGCCCGGCACGTGACCCGCACACTTCCTTGGCAATAGCTGAGCCAGGGCTCACAAAGGGCCGACTACAGTGATGGTTCTGGAATGTAATTCTCAACCTCATCCCCTGCTGTAAGGCGCATAAACACAGATGAGGTATAAAACTGAGCTTTATAAGGTGCTACTATAAAGTAATCAACTGGACTGCACCTCTTGGTCTCCTCTCCTGCAATCATACCTGTGCCTCCAGGTGTAAGAAACTAAACAATACGTATAGTAACAATATGTCGCAAATAAAAGAAAACTGTACACTGTTCCTCCAGTTGAAAGCACTTAGGCTCCTGACCAGTCCTGGAAGTGATGGCAGCCACGTATAAGCCTCAAACTGTTCCTCTCCAGTTCTACTTCTGTTCTTCCCACAGCCCTGCTGGCCTCTGTGTACTAGGCTCTGAGTTTTGAGACTGTGATCCCACCAAATGTTCCTCATTCAGCTTGCCGCTCTTCTGGAAGAATGGTTTCATGACCGCTCCATGATGTACGTGGCATGGATCCTACAACTTCTGTTCTTCTCCTGGATAGTTTCCCTCTGCCTTTTTTTTTCTTTCTGGTCTCGAACTATTCCATCCCCTTTACTCCATTCCTGATCTACCAGTATTCATGTCTCTCATCCTTTATGTTCTTTTGTTTGGGTTCTTTCTGTTATTTTACTTGGGGAGTGCATCATCATTTAAGCATAATTAATCTTTCTAATTCATGGCTTGATAATACATATTTATTTTATCTTAAATTTTAAAGATTTATTTATTTATTTGAGAGAAAGAGAGCACAAGTGGGAGAGGCAGAAGGAGAAGGAGAGAATCTCAAGCAGACTCCACACTAAGCGCAGAGCCCAGCACGGAGCTCAATCTCACAACCGTGAGATCACAGCCTGAGCCAAAACCAAGAGTCTGAGGCTTAACCAACTGCACCATCCAGGTGCCCTATACTTATTTGAAAAAGAAATTCTGTTCATTCACTCAACAATTATTTACTGAGCACCAATTAAGTCTCTAGCACTAATGCTCCACCAGAGTTCACCTCCCCCACAGAACTTACAGTCTACAGGTTGAAATGGGCAATGTGGATATTCTTTTCACCAGACTATAAAGAATAAGAAACAGTATTGATCTGAAGCAATCATAGGAAAATAAAAAATTTAAATAGCATAATAAGGGGCACCTGGGTGGCTCAGTCGGTTAAGAGTCCAACTCTTGGTTTCAGCTCAGGTCATGATCTCATGGGTTGAGGGATCAAGCCCCACGTTGGGCACCACATTCAGCAGGGAGTCTGCTTGAAGATTCTCTCCCTCTGCCCCTCCCCCCACTCACATGCCCCCACACACTCTCTCTCTCAAATAAATAGATATATAGCATAATAAATCCAAGGACTGAAAAAAAGACAAGAGCCCTCTTCTATTGTAACAGTTGTATCAGTAATTTAGAATTAGGACAAAGAAAACATTGCCAAACCTCACATCCACTGTATTATTCGCCTCATGGTCAAACACTTCAAAAGCCTCCTTGATTTTTTTGTGATATTCTGCTACGGCTATCTCTGCAAAAGACAAAGTAAATAAAAAGTGTTTTACTTTACCTTTGAATTCAAAACAAAAATTTCAACCACTAAGCTAGAAATTCTCAATGAGGAAGAGCATGCAGAACTCTTTCCTAATCTTAGCGTCATGTAGCATGTTCATCTTTGTCTAGAGATAGCAAGGAATGGACAGACTCTCGTTTCCTGAGGCATGAGACACCCACAACACAGTACCAGAGGTGCACCACTCTTGAGTACACAGTGCCATGGGTTTCATGTGTTTGTAGTCATGAGGCCACCACGCAGATCAAGGTATAGAATGCTTCCAACACAGCCTATCTTTTGTCCCAAGTAGTCTGGGCAGAGTCCCAGCCCAAGAGGCAGAAGGAGTCCAGCTCTACAGATAGAGTGTGGCTCACTGGTATGCCTGCCTGTGCACTTGAGGAGGGCTAAAGTTGGGGAGTGGGAGGCATGCAAAAGCAACACAAGACACTCTCTCAAAGGGCTTTCAAACTAGTTTTGAGACTAAGACTTACTTACAAGAAATGATTAAAAAGTCATTTATTCAATAAACATTTATTGAGTCTCTGCTAGGTGCTAGACACTATTCTAAGTGCTAACGTTATAACAAGGAACAAAACAGACAAAAATGCCTACCTCCACAGAGCTGTTTTTATTGAGGGAGATATATAAGCTTATACATATTTGGTAAAAATACACTGTTAAGTCAAATGGTGCTGGAAAAAATAAAGCAGGTAAGGGACACAGAGTGCTGGGGGGGCTGGGTCTTGAGAAAGGAGTGGGGTGGTGGTTTCGGAAGGCCTCCTTAGTGATAAGGTGTCTTCTGCACAGGGGGAAAAGCCAGCTTTATGAATATCTACAGGAGGAGTTTTTAGGCAAATAGAACCGCAGAGGCAGAATGGTAGAAATAAGGTCAGAAAGGTGTGATTTTAGGGGGGAGGACAAGTTCTATATGGTCTCTGTATACTGCTTTAAAGGTTTTGTCTTTTACTTTAAATGAGATGGTGAACCACTGGAAGGTTCTAAACAGTGACATGACATGGCCTGGCTTATATTCACTTCAGTTATAATGTTAAGAATATACCAGAAAGGGACAAGGGTGGAAGGAGAGACCAGTTAGGAGGTTATTGCAGTATTCTAGAGAGAGTCTAATGGTGACAGGACAAGGATGGAAACAGTTGGAGATGGTGAGAAATGATAGGATTCTGGATATATTCTAAAGGGCAGAGTCGACAAGACTTGCTGATAGGTTTGATGTTAGATGCAGAGGAAAAGAAGGGGTTGAGGCTGACTCCAAGGTGTTTGGCTGAGTGGAAGAATAAAGGGAAAAACAATGCAATCAAGTTTCAAAATTTATTTTTCAAATAGTAACATAGGACACCCAGAAAGAGAGAGATTGAGTTCATATACTCATTTAAATTATAAATATAATACCATCAAATTGCAGAAAATGGGAAAAAATTTATTCATATTCCCTATGAGTAACATTACCCTAACATAACCACTCATCACTTTGCTATATTTTCCTCCAATCTTTCTTCATACACAACTTTTTATATGTATCATTTAAGAACTACCATTCATTCACTCAACAAAAACTTACTGAATGAAACACTATGTACCAGATTCTGTGCCAGGTGCTGTACCTACATTTATAACCAGAGGTAAGCATCGATCAAAGCTCAGAGAGGTCTGGGGTGCCTGGGTGGCTCAGTCAGTTGAGTATCAGACTCTTGATCTTGGCTTGGGTCATGATTTTGGGGTCGTGGGATTAAGCCCTGCCTCGAGCTCCTCGCGCTGGGCATGGAGCCTGCTTAGGATTCTTTCTTTCCCTCTCCCTCTGCCCCTCCCCTCACTTGGGCTCTCTTTCTCTAAAAAAAATAACACACACACAAAAAAACAAATAAAATAAAATAAAGCTCAGAGAGGTTAAGCAACTGGTGCAAGATCACAGAGTTGCCAAGTGGCAGAGCTGGACTGAACTGGATCTATCTCACTTGAGAGATCCTGCTCTCTCCCACACTCTATCCCCACTTCACTAACTGCTAGTACTCATTAGTTTAAAAACTGTAACTCCTAATCACTTCATTCAAATACTATACCTTTCCAGGCTCAACATAACCTATATAACCTTCCATTTTTAACAGTACCAAAGGAATGTACCACAATTTATTGATATTAGTTTTTCTTTATCATAAAAAACATGACAATGAACCATGTTTGCTAATTTAATAAGCAAAAAAATAACTGTTATCTCATTATTTAAATTTATACTTCCTTGATTACAAGTGACTGAATGATGATCCATATGCTTGTATGTGACTTCTGCTTTCTATGCTGTGAGCTATCTGTTCTTGTTCTCTGCTCACTCCTACTAGGATCTTCCATTTTTTCTTAGCAATTTGTATGTGCTCTTTAAATAATGAAGACTTAACCCCGTGTCATAATTACTGCAAACAATCTTTCAGGTCAGTTGTTTGCATTTGTTTTTCTAAAATAAAACCAGTTTCATATCCTAGCTGATCATCAATACCATACATGATTACTGGAGGAAAAAAAAAAAGGATGTGTAAGAAAGAGTTTAGATTAAGTAAAAATCACTTCAAATCCTACCATGCAGGGTGAGCTACTTTTATTGTTTTCTCCTAATCTAATTTTCACTCAACAATAAATTGGGAGCATCTTGTACTCTCAAAAGAATATTGATTACATTATCATTTTTAGTGACTGTTTGGTATTCCATTATAGAGCTTTATCATAATTTAGCCAACCCTCTAATTGTAGACATTTCAATTGCCTCCAATTTTCCATTGTTATAATTATTCTTTAGTGAACAATCTTGCCCAACTCATCTTTGTGAGTTTGTCTTATTATCCCACTGAAATACAATGAGTTGAATACAGTTGGACTTGTGTGGGGTATTGGGAAGGTTCTAATTAGTCATCATATTGTCTTGGAGGGGTGCCTGGGTGGCTCAGTCGTTAAGCGTCTGCCTTTGGCTCAGGTCATGATCCCAGGGTCCTGGGATCGAGCCCCGCATCGGGCTCCCTGCTCCGCGGGAAGCCTGCTTCTCCCTCTCCCACACTCCCCCTGCTTGTGTTCCCTCTCTCTGTGTGTCTCTGTCAAATAAATAAATAAAATCTTAAAAAAAAAAATATTGTCTTGGGAAAGTCTCACTGGTTATAACACTGCCAATGCACAAAGCTGATGTCTGCTTTTTAAATTTAAGGTCATTTCATTTATTTTTTAAGTTTTTATTCAAATTCCAGTTAGTTAACATGCAGTGTAATATTAGTTTCAGGAATACAATATAGTGATTCAACACTTCCATACAACACCCAGTGCTTACCACAAGTGCTCTCCTTAATGCCCATCACTTATTTCACCCATCCTACTGCCCTGCGCCCCTCCCCCCACCCCACACTCCCCTCTGGTAACCATCAGTTTGTTCTCTACAGTCTGTTTCTTGGTTTGTCTCTTTCTTTTTTTAATTTTCCCTTTGCTTGTTTGTTTCTTAAAGTCCGCATAAGGCTGAAATCATATGGTATTTGTCTTTCTCTGACTGACTTATTTCACTTAGCATAACACCCTCTAGTTCTGTCATTGCAAATGTCAAGATTTCATTTAAAAATTTTTTTTTATTATTATGTTATGTTAATCATTTTTTGATGGCTGAGTAGTATTACATTGTATATATATACCACATCTTCTTTATCCATTCATCAGTCAATGGACACTTAGGTTGTTTCCAAGATTTGGCTCTTGTAAATTATGCTGCTATAAACATCGGGGTGCATGTATCCCTTTAAATTAGTATTTTTGTATTCTTTAGGTAAATACCTAGTAGTGCAACAGCTGGATTGTAGGGTAGTTCTATTTTTAACCTTTTCAGGAATCTCCATACTGTTTTCCAGAGTGGCTGTACCAGTTTGTATTCCCACCAACAGCGCAAAAGGGTTTCCCTTTCTCCACATCCTTGCAAACACCTTGTGTTTGTTGTGTTGTTTCTTGTGTTGTTGAGTTTAGCCATTTTGACAGATGTGAGGTGGTAACTCATTGTGGTTTTGATTTGTATTTCTCTGATCAGTGATGTTGAGCATCTTTTCATGTGTCTGTTGGCCATTTGCATGTCTTTTTTGGAAAAATGCCTATTCATGTCCTCTGCCCATTTTTAAATTGGATTATGTCTTCTGAGTGTTGACTTTTATAAGTTCTTCATATATTTTGGATACTAATTTTTTATCAGATATGTCATTTGCAAATATCTTCTCCCACTCCAAAGGTTGCCTTTTAGTTTTGTTGATTGTTTCCTTCGCTGTGCAGAAGCTTTTTATTTTGATGAAGTCCCAATAGTTTATTTTTGCTTTTGTTTTCCTTGCCTCTGGAGACATATCTAGAACGAAGTTGCTACAGCCAATGTCAAAGAGGTAACTTACCTGTGTTTTCCTCTAGGATCTTTATGGTTTCAGGTCTCACATTTAGGTCTTTCATACATTTCAAATTTCTTTTTTTTCTGGTGTAAGAAAGTGGTCCAGTTTCATTCCTCTACATGTTGCTGTCCAGTTTTCCCAACACCATTTGTCTTTTTCCCATTGGATATTCTTTCCTTCTTTGCCAAAGATTAATTGACCGTATAATTATGGGTTCATTTCTGGGTTTTCTATTCTGTTCCATTGATCTATGTGTCTGTTTTTGTGCCAGTACCATACTGTTTTGATCACTACAGCTTTGTAATATAACTTGAAGTCCAGAATTGTGATGCCTCCAGCTTTGCTTTTCCTTTTCAAGATTGCTTTGGCTATTCAGGGTCTTTTGTGGTTCCATACAAATTTTAGGTTTGTTCTAGCTCTGTGAAAAAAATGCTGCTGCTATTTTTATAGGGATTGCATTAAATGTGTAGATTGCTTTGAGTAGTGTAGACATTTTCACAATATTTGTTCTTCCAATCCATGAGTATAGAATGTCTTTCCATTCTTTTTGTCCTCTTCAATTTGTTT